ACCAGGTGGTACATTTTCCATACAGCCATCGTTAGAACTAATCTTGGATTCAAGACTACGTATTCTGCTTTCCAAATCTAGTATATATTTGTTCTGTTGCACAAATATGTTTCTAAAAGCTTCCAGATCCTTTAATAGAGCATTAATTATAACTGGGGGTACTGGTGGTGTATCGTCTGTGTGGCCATTTTCAGTGGTAGTACCGATGCTATTGGTAACAATGGCGGACGCCATCGGTGCGGTACTTTCCGAAGGGGCACCGAATCTACACTGATTACAAGATACACATAGTGGATAATCAGCTTTGCTCAAGTTAACTAACCTTGGATCATCATTTCCACAGTCGTTACACTTCATAATGCGATGATACGATTAAACTGCTCGACAAAAACACAAGGGGTTGCTCAGCACCCAAACACACGTCAGCACACGTCAGCACACGTTAGTGTGTGTATGTGTGAAGTTTGAATGACATCAGTCTATGCATGTATGATGGGATGTAAAATGTATGTGGGAAGTTTGACGTTAGTCTATGCATGTATGATTGTATGTGAAATGTATGTGTGAAGTTTGAATGACGTACATCAGTCTATGCATGTATGATGGGATGTGAAATGTATGTGTGAAGTTTGAATGACGTACATCAGTCTATGCATGTATGATGGGATGTGAAATGTATGTGTGAAGTTTGAATGACGTACATCAGTCTATGCATGTATGATGGGATGTGTGATGTATGTGTGATGTATGTGTGAAGTTTGAATGACATCAGTCTATGCATGTATGATGGGATGTGAAATGTATGTGTGAAGTTTGAATGACGTACATCAGTCTATGGATATATGATGGGATGTGAAATGTATGTGGGAAGTTTGAATGACATCAGTTTATGCATGTATGATGGGATGTGAAATGTATGTGGGAAGTTTGAATGACATCAGTCTATGCATGTCAGTTACATAGCTATGAAACCACATTCATTGAAACAAAATGGCCACTATTGGACCAGTTTGAAATCTGATTTGTTTAATAGACATACCAAGTTTGGCAATTGTTTTTGCCATTAAAATGTTAAATTGGATCATGTGATAAATGCATGAGCAAATGTATGATATGTGATACATGTGAGGAGATAGAATGTAATAAGCCCAGGGATGTTTTTAAACAAGCGAACAGGAGTGCAGTGCCCTTATTCATGGCTGGCACACACACACACACACCCACCCTTACCCTGGGGAGCAGATACCCTGGCAACCATACAATTCTGATGGCCACAGTCTTCAACTGTGACTTGTCTGATAGTAATTTTGGCCCCAAGGAAGCTGTAGAATGTTCCATTTTAACTACACACCCTGGTAGGGAGAACCTTATCTCCCCCACTTGATGGCGCCGTTGAATTGCAGTGCTCCCTCTTGGAGTTTTTTTCTAGAAAAAAAACCTGCAGCCCAATCACAGACAAACAGATAAATGCATGCACACACGGACAAGCAGATAGAGATGAAACAACAAGGGCAAGTTTTTGAACAACCTCCACATTTCTAACAAACAAGCTTACTTTTTGAAAAACAGTTGGCCAATCACCACCACATGTATTGCGTAGAGGACCTCGATCTTCTATAGTATACAGTCTAATTTTCTGGTCTTCCAACCAAACTATTAAATTCCTCCATTTTCGTTCATCTACAAATGAACAAATACAATAAGAATCATTATGTCAGTTTGGGTCATGTGACCCATTCCTACATTTATTTTGTTTAATCCACATTGACAATACAGATACAGATATGCAGATAAAGAAAATTATCAGATTATCCAAAAAATCAACAACTAGTTTTACCGGTAGTTGGATATGGATATATACCCTGATAGATTAGTGAACTGCAATGCTTATGATGTAGTCAGCCTAGATACATGACAATGTATGCAATTTTAGATAGAAAGGACAGTTGTTCAACAACTGAAAATATAAATACAACACTGGGTTCATCTATTACAATGGAGATAGAAAGAAAAGTTTTTACACCTATTATCATGACTAGGTGCTCCCCAAATTGGTCACAATCAGCCTGAATGCGAGTCAAACGAAATCCCACATCAGAAATTAACAATAAGAAACATGTAATTCAACTATTGCAAACTGCTTTCATTTTGTTTGAAGCATTGCAAATATCATCTTAATTTGTAATCCAATTAATTTGTAATGTCTACTCCAGAGCAGTTTCCCAACCAGTAGGAATGTTGACATACAAAAAAGTCAATTTAATGTACTTTTGAGATTAAGATTGCTTTAGAAAACAATTCTAAAAAACATTGGGTTGGTTTTCTGTTACAACAGACATACTCAGCATACACAAAGATGCTAAACCCTAGAAATACAGTTTATTCCAGAAATTCAATTGAAATGAGCCTGGAAATTTGATGTACCGCTAAATAAGCCTCAATGAGCATTATCTAGTATCGTAAAATCACAGTGAAATGAATAGATTATATGAAGACATACAAATTTGTCTAATATCCTGTTAGGGGTGAATCATTGGATTGTTGTTATTAAAAATTGTTTTTTACCTAACCCCAAAGTTTTTTAATATATGCTTTAATACTTACTTGATGTTTTTTTATTTATAAGCCCTGGCAAATTATATTTTTTCCACAATTGTTTTGTTCTAATAATAAGATTACTGCTAGTCAGCCATTTTGAATTTGATGGCGACAAAAATGCATGTGCAGTTGTCCTATAATAATGTCTGATGTATGTGTGATGTTTGAACTTGATGTTAATATTGACCCAGAACTGCATTCAGTAAAACAAAATGATTGCCTGTCAGCCATTTTGAACAGGGTCCAAAAAATGATAATGTGTGAAGTTTGAACTTGGTCAGTCCAAGCATGTTTGAGATATGGTCAAATTATACATGGGTGCACAGGAGTCATTCTATAAGTCCCCATTTCAGGTTCGAGCTGACTACTTCGAATACGATATGAAAAACAAAATGACATACATTAAGGTCCCACGATGTCTAATGTATGTACAAAGTTTCAAAGAAATTCATTCATACACAAGACATCCAGATGCAATTATGGCAGAAATACTTGATTTAGATGAATCTTTAACATTTGGTCATTTTATCATTAAACGACATGATGTATAGCAATAAATAAAGTTTGAATATGGTTGGTCAAGGCATGTCAGAACAGCATAATTAAAACAAAATGTGCACAAGTTGGCCATTTTGAATCTGATATGAAAAACAAAATGATGTGCATCAACTCCTATGAAGTCCAATATATGTACCAAATTTGAACAAAATCCATTTATACACAAGTTTTGCTTCTGAAAGGAGGAAATGCTTGACTTTTTAGCACAAAAAAACCATCACGCAGCCATAATGAATCTGATGGTAAAACAAATGAATGTACACATGTGCGTTGTGTCGTCGCAGGATGCGCTGTCTCAGCACAGAACTGTGTCATGTGACGACTCACTAGCAGATTTATACTAAGTGTTTATAAACAGAATATATGATACTTTTTACAATTTAAATTGCTATTTAATAACATATTTTACTGAAATATTGTTTAGTGACTCAAATATTAATGTCACATATAATTAAATTTTTGGAACAGCAGAAACGAACACATAATAACAATAAACATAGCAAAACTATTGAATCCTTGCCCGCAAGGGAATAGTTGATGGAACTGGTTATGTTGAGACCAAGAATTGGCTAAATTCTTGAAAGAGTGAAATTTTCTAACATACTTTTCATTTCTTACTACCAAATATCACTCTAAGCTATACATTTGGGAGAGGAGTGTTGATTTTGTGATGTTCTGCTTCCATAGATTTTTGTAGTTTCTCTAGAATAGTGGTTGGTTATTATGAAGGGAATGGCCTTGAAAGAGAAACCTTTTGAATTGTCTTCATCCAGTGAAAATCTCTGCAGGGATTCCTGGTACTGATTTATCATTGTTTGATTCCACAGTATTCTCATTATTAGTGACATCATTCACAATAGTGCCCCAATCACCACTTTTATTAAGAGTGTCATGTAACCATGTATCAGAGACAGTTATACCCTGTGATTTGTTCAGTTCAGTCTTGCTCACTAAATACTGCAGAGCCTCTAACACTTCATAAGGACGAATATTTTCAAACTGAACATGACCGCTGTAAGATAGTCTCCTGTTCAGTTTAATGGGTACTGTTTCTGATTCACTTAATTTTCGTGGTAAATTCACAATTGTGCTGTTTACATTAGCAACTACAATGACAATATTACCATGGATACTTAATTGACCACCACACGCATGAATGGAATTCTTGGAGAAATCAATCTTTCTTCAAGTGGGTATAAACTCAATTTAGGATTTTCATTTTATAAGCATATGAACATGATGGGATAGCTCCCTTTTTCAGGGAATTAGAACAAATATTACATATCCATTGTTTATCACTTACTAAAATTTTAAAGTTTATATTTATCATGATTACCGGTACATTCAATAACAGAATGTCTATACCATGTTTGATAACAGCAATTACATACATATTCTGGTCCTTCACATATATCTCACTGAAATTCATTAATGAGTTCACTAAATTGATCGTTTAAAACTGCATTTTTACATTTCAATCTCTCAGCATTACACTTTTCCTCAAGTTGTTGTACATCTTTTCTTTTTAATCTCTTTGCATTTCTCTCCTTTTCCAATTGTTCTACATTTTTTCTACTTAATCTCTGCATTACGCTCTTTCTCAAGTTGTTGTATATTATTCCTCTTAAATCTCATTGCATTCTTCTCTTTCTCTAATTGTTCCATATTATTCCTCTTAAATCTCATTGCATTTTTCTCCTTCTCTAATTGTTCCATATTATTCCTCTTAAATCTCATTGCATTTTTTTCCTTCTCTAATTGTTCCATATTATTCCTCTTAAATCTCATTGCATTTTTCTCCTTCTCTAATTGTTCCATATTATTCCTCTTTCTTCTCATTGCATTTTTCTCCTTCTCTAATTGTTCCATATTATTCATCTTTAATCTCATTGCATTTTTCTCCTTCTCTAATTGTTCCATATTATTCCTCTTAAATCTCATTGCATTTTTTTCCTTCTCTAATTGTTCCATATTATTCCTCTTAAATCTCATTGCATTTTTTTCCTTCTCTAATTGTTCCATATTATTCCTCTTTCTTCTCATTGCATTTTTCTCCTTCTCTAATTGTTCCATATTATACCTCTTTAATCTCATTGCATTCTTTTCCTTCTCTAATTGTTCCATATTATTCCTCTTTCTTCTCATTGCATTCTTCTCTTTCTCTAATTGTTCCATATTATTCCTCTTTCTTCTCATTGCATTCTTCTCTTTCTCTAATTGTTCCATATTATTCCTCTTTCTTCTCATTGCATTCTTCTCTTTCTCTAATTGTTCCATATTATTCCTCTTTCTTCTCATTGCATTTTTCTCCTTCTCTAATTGTTCCATATTTTTCCTCTTTCTTCTCATTGCATTCTTCTCTTTCTCTAATTGTTCCATATTTTTCCTCTTTAATCTCACTGCATTCTTCTCTTTCTCTAATTGTTCCATATTTTTCAACAAATTTGAAAAACGTTTCAACTGTATAACATAGTATGGTGGTAATACTTGATTGGTCACATTTTTTACAATGTCATGAACTTCATTGCAATGACTACACGAATATTCATGTATTGTTTCTTCATTAAAATAATCATTAAGGCAATTTGAAATAGAAACTGGTTCATTATTACTAGAATATGTGATAGGCAGTTGTAAAACAGTAAATGGTTCAAGTCTAACATTCTGATGTGCACAGTGCTTTGATTTATATGTGTTATTATAGATAACCATAAATATACTTTGTAAAGTATGTACTGGCATATTATTACTGTTTACGTCATATTGTTCTAATATATCAAATATAATCACAAGAAACTCATGGGCATCATTTTCTACAAGAGGATTAAATAATTCTCTACTTTTAATGTATTACTCTAACCATGCTGCACTATTAAAACTGTTGTTACCCAAATACATGTGAATTATAAATGATTCCCATTCACATAACAAACAAGATGGTGTTTTATATTTTCTGCATTGATGGGTTTTTGATTTGTTAAGAATGTAGCTTGCAAATGCTGGAGTATGTATTAATACTTGTATATAACATTTTGATAATGCAAGTCCAAGGTTTTGTAAACCAGCACCAGGGAGTTCATTTATAACAACTATCCAATCAGTACTCAAAATATTCTTTTGATACAGGTGAAACTGATTTAATAATTGCATTACATTTGAAGATATTTCACTTTGATTTAAGTCTGTTAAGTTTGTTCATTAATTAATCCATAAGATTATCAACTTCACGGGTAACAACATCTAATTCTACATGATTACCTGACTGAGGAAATACTTCACTACTTACATTAAAAGTAAATGGTATCTAGAAGTGACATCATTATTAAACAATATCCAACAATATCATTCAGTTAACAACTGTGATAAAT